ATAATTTAGGGATGTTAAATCGGTAAAACCGAACCTAAATTTCGGTACGCCAACATTTTATACCGTTTACCGAACTGAATATACGATTTGGTTCGGTAAATAATATTTAAAAGGAGCGGGGTTGTAATTACCCAATCAAAATGATTTATTTTTTTTGTAATTTGACCATACGGGGTGGCCGTAATTTCATATATATATATAAACAAAAACTAATTTTATATATAAGAATATAAAACCAGACCCTTCTGAAAAAATAAGGCATTTGTACTTGTAGTTGTACATATCGGTGGGAAAATGAGAAGGAAAAGGAAAAAATATAAAAAGAAAATCAGGCAAAAATAATAAGTGGAGAGAGAAAGTATGGAGAAGTGGGAGTGGGGCACGACTAACGAGAGAGAAGGGTTGAGAATTAACAAAAGAAAATAAACAAGAAACTAAAAATAATTGAAAAATGTATTAAAAAATAATATTTTTGGGGCCCCAACTGAAGATGGGCCCTGGGCCTAGGCCCTGCTCGCCCTGGGCCAGGGCCGGCCCTGCCAGAGAACATCAAAGTTGAGTGGAGATGTTGAGTATGTCGGTCTGAAGGAGAACTACTTCCTAAACGATTGAGGGAGTACCTTCTACTATTTCCTTACAAATTCACATATCTATATATTTACTAGGTTACACAGATACGGGAACGGGGACACGGCGACACACGGACACGGACACCGGGAAACTTTTAATAAAAAAAAGGACACGGGAACGTGGGGATACGTGTAAATATTGAAAACATAGGAGTCTATTTATAAATTATTAAAATATTCATTTTTACAATTTAAAATTCACATATATATATTTATTCAAATACTGTTTCAAGTTTTCAACCTTAAATCAGCAAAAAATTATAGATTAGGAGCTAGCATATGTTGTAGCCATTTTCACATCATACTAAAAATTAAAAAAAAAACAATCAAATTAAATATAATAAAAAAACGATGTTCAGCTAATCAAAATAAATTATCCAATACTTAATAAAATATTTCTTTTAAAATAATAATAATAAAAAAAAATTGAAGTAGCATTTTCCATCACTTCCTACTTTTCAGCCGCCTCATCTTCAGTAAAAAGTACGGCCTCTAATTCTGGTTCATCTAAAGAAAGGTCGGCAATTTCAAGAATTCCAGTATCTTCCATACTTCCAAATTCATCCCCACCAACGTCCCACATCTTTGTCTTTTCATCATGGTATTGGGAAGTGCCTCTAGACAAAAGACGAAGGTTGGTATGAACGAATACTAAATCCTCTGCTATTTTAGGAGTTCTTCTAAATGAATGAATAAAGGAATACGTACTCCAATTCCTTTCACAACAAGAGGAAGAAGTAGGTTGTCCAAGAACCCTAAATGTCAATCGTTGAAGCAAAGGCGAAGTTGAACCATAGCATTCCCACCACTTTCTAGGCTCAATATCAAATCTACTGCCAATAGAATCTGGATCTCCAATGTCCACTCTTGAGAGAAAAATTGGCAAATTCATCATTGACCTTTGCACGATCCTCTTTGTTTGCGAACATTCTTTTAAAACACTTAATTCTTTCAGTTGAAACTTCTCCATCCATACGAGGTGGCAATCTACCTTCTCCGTCTCGAAGCCATTTATCACTATAATACCTTAGGGAAAAAACAAGAAAGCGAATAACAAGAAATAAAAAAATAAAGAATACGTTGATATAAAAAAAAAAAAAATATTGATAAAAATAAAAACTCACTTTGGGTTTAATGAGTGAGCCAAGCAATGAAGAGGGGTATTATTCTTTGCCCAACGATCAACAAGAATCTCACGGACCACATCATAAAAAGCAGAAGATTCAATTAGTTGCTTTCCTTCATGCTCATAAATAGCGTTCTTCACTTTTTCAATCATGGAGTCCCACATCTCATAAGCTAAATGAAGACATGGCTTGTCTGTATCACAAACTCGAAGCATTTCATAAATCGGGGCAGTAAAAGAAAGAATGTAATCAACATTTTTCCACCAATCTTCATTCACCACCGTATCGCGAACAAATCTAGCTTTCCCTTGGTCATCTTCTCGGTATTGTGCCCATTGTTCACTGAAAACCATTAACCCTAAAGCACGTTTAATAAGCTTGAATCTATTAAGCATGACAACAACAAAAGCAAAACGAGTATCGGCAACTGAAAGCAACTTCAAATGACTAAACTGATAGAAAATAGCTAGCCTCATGTTATGGTTCATTATAAAATTCTTGATTTGCATAGCATCTGCATAAACGATATTTATCCAACTACACAAGTCATGTGTAACTTGATTAGCTTCCGCATTTCTAACCGCACAAATATTTTTCAAAGCAAGATTGAGAGTATGAACAATACAAGGAGTCCAATAAATGTTAGGAAACATGCCTTCAATAATTTCTCCAGCGGCCTTACAATTTCTAGCATTATCAGTAATAACTTAAACAACCTTTTCATGTCCAACCTCGTCGATTACTTCTTTCACCAGCTTTGCAATAAATTGTTTATCTTTTACCTCACCAAAACAATCCACGGCTTTGACAAACATAGGACCAGACTCAGAAAAAAACATAATATTAATCAAAGGTCTCCTCTGTGGGTCACTCCAACCATCACTCACAATACTAACACCTTTTTCGAACCAAGTGCTCTTAATAGGTTCCAACAACCTCTCCACGTGTGCCTTTTCTTGCTGGAGCAATGTGGTTCTCAATTTATTGAAGCTGGAAGGAACTTAACCACCCAATGAATGATTAGCAGCAAATACAAAAGAGCTCAGAAAATAAGGATTATTAGCAAAATTAAAAGGTATGCCCCCAGTATAAAACATCCTAGCAATTTATGCATCCAATTGATCTCTAGTTTGTAAATCAAAAGCTCTAGCAATAGGTGAGTCGTCTGCTCGTCTCTTCTTCAAGTTCAAAAGATTTGAACCACCTGCTTCACCAGACAATGGATTCATCGTAGTTTTCGGTAAAGAAACTTTCTTAGGTTGTGAATTTAGAATTTTTTGTGTTACATCTTCTTCCATCTTCTTCATTTCAGAAATATCATCCTTGCCAACACTCGTGCAACCTGCAATCCCTTGCTTCTTAATATTTAAGAGGTGAGCCATAACCCTGGTGTAACTTCCTTGTTTTTCTTGATGACAGAAATTACAAATCCGTTTACAATTACCACCACCGTCCCCTAATTTCCCAATTTTAGTGACATATTTCCACAAACATTATTCTCTTCGTCTGTACTTCTAATATGATCCATAGTTAAATAAAAAAACACAAAAAACAAAAAAACAAACAAACATAGAAGAGAATATAATATAATATTATTGTTGTATAGCCTGTAATCATGTATAAAAGAAAAAAGCAAACAGTAAAAACTAATATATAATATATTAGTTTATGGCTTTCTGCTGAGTAATTTGCAAGAAAGAAATTACGGCTAGGGTACAGCCTATAATAAAAAATGTAAAATAGGTTTTGACTTTTGAGTTTTGCCTTTTGGGTTTTCAAAAAAGGCTGCGAATTTTTTTTTCCTCTTTGACACGCGTATCAATTTTGGATACGCGTGTCCAATTATTTCATAATTACTGACACGGCCCCCAAGCGTATTATACGCGTATTTGGGCGTTTCATGTCGGAAACGTGTCCGACACATAGTATCTGTGTAACAGAGTATATTTATAATAATATAGGCGTATCTGTGTAACATATTAGGCGTATCTGTGTAACAGAGTATATTTATAATAATATACGTACTTGTATGCATAAATTTCCACTAACATTGGGGAATATCACGTGCAAAATAACCATGTTGTGTCGTGGATAGATTGATCGGTGATAATGGTGGTCGAAGGTACTAACCGGAAGCTAGAATCTCAACTGGGAACGAAGACACCCCCAAAGGATCCGATAGAAGAGGTGAATGCAGGTCTGGAAGAGGCTCCACAAAAGGAGACGTCTGGAACTGAGATCGACAAGAAACAAGCAAAAGGTACGTGATTTTTTGAAGACCCGTGCTCGCTAGTTTTCAAGCCGTACATTTTACTTTTCATATGAAGCTGGAGTTTCTAGTCAGAACAACAATTGGGGAGCTTATGGGAGACCTGATTGGATCACGGTCATGTTACATTGAATCAATTCGTCAAGGCGAGAAGAATAAAAGATGTGAGGATCCCAAAGAAAAAATGGGCGATGAGAATATTCAAGCAGGAGATGAATTAATGAGCATCGAGTTGATACTGGGGCGGTCAGAGTGCACCACTTGGATTCATTGTCACCTCGAAGATGACCTTAAAAACAAACTTGTCGAGGCAATGCCGATGTGTTCACATGGAAACGAGAAGACTTGACGTGGATTGATCCAAAAACGATTGTCCATAGGTTACATATCCGAATGTAAGGCTAGTCAAACAAAAACAGAGGCATTTCGGTGTGATAAACGATGCGATTATAAGAGAGGAAGTAGATCGCCTCTTAAGGATAGACCACACGAGGGAGATCCAATTTTCTACTTGATTGTCTAATGCATTTCTCGTAGCAAAATTTGGTGGTAAATGTAGAATGTGTATAGATTTTCACGATCTAGACATGACATGCCCTAAAGATCATTACCCTCTGTTGTAGATAGATCAACTGGTGGATGCATCTACAGGCTGCAAGTTCTTCAATATGATGGATGCTTCGCACGGTTGTCATCAGATCAAGCTGGATCCAATAGATCAAACCAAGGTTAGTTATATAACTTCACGTGGCACGTATAGCTACCAGGTTATGTCGTTTGGATTGAAGAATGCAGGGGAAGCATATTTAAAGACTTGTGGACAAGATTTTCGCAAAACAATTAAGACACAACATAGAGGTTTACGTAGATTATATGCTTGTAAAGAGAAAAAAAGCGAGTTCACACTTGGAGTCTCTTCGCAAAACGTTCTCGACCCTCCAAAAATATGGAATAAAACTCAACCGAGCAAACTGTTCTTTTGGAGTGCAAACTGGCAAGTTCTTGGACTTTATGGTTACCAAACAGGGCCTCAAGGTAAATCCAGAAAAGCAGCAGTCCTAGAGATGACACCGCCACAAACCATTAAAGAAGTTCAATCCTTAGCAGGGAAAGTAGTAGCAATCAGTAGCTTCATCTTGCGATTGGCAGAATGCAGTTTCCTGTTATTTCGGGCAATAAGAAAAGGGTAAGAGTTCTAGTGGACTACACAATGCTAGCTATCATTTGAAGATCTTAAGTGACTCTTGATCACCATACCACCGTAGCCAACACCCAAGGTGGTAGAAATACTCCACATGTACATGTCGGTGGGGGAGCATCGGTGATCTCAGTCCTACTCCGCGAGGTGGAAAATAAACAACGGCTAGTAAATTATGTAAGTAATGTTCTGCATGGGGCGAAGCTTTGCTATTTAAAAGTGGAGAACGTTGGATTCACCTTGATCATTACTGTTCGATGTTTGCGACCTTATTTCCTCTCGCATATTATAATCGTTCATACCAATTATCCGCTATCGTTCGGTCGCACCAATCATCCGCTAAGACAAACTCTCGGGAATGCGGAAGCTTCAGGAGTAATGGTCAAATAGGTTATTGAGCTGGGATAGTACGATGTGGAGTATGAGCCTCGCACTACGATAAAAGGACAAGCTCATGCTGATTTTCTCTAGATAACTACGTGCGAAGTGGAGTGAACTGGATGGAAAGTATATGTAGATGGGTCTTCCACGGTGAACGGATCCGGAGGCGGGTAAGTATTAATCAATCATGTAGGGGAAGAGCTTGAGTTCACGATCAAGTTTCATGATAAAGTGTTTAACATTCAAGGTTAATACGAGACGTTGGCACAAGAATTGGAATTAGCTCAAAGGGCAGGAGCGAAGCAAGTCGCAATTTATTCAGACTCCCAATTGGTGGTTCAGAAATTAACAGGCGGATATGAAATAACGGATACCACATGGGGGCTTACGTGGAGCTGATCAAAACACATATGGGGAACTTTGAGGAATGCAGCCTCAAACAAATACCTCGCGAAGCAAATGGGCAAGCCGATCTACTCCTCCACAGTGTTGGAAATCAGACACGTGTACGCAACAGAAAAAAAAAATTATGCGAATTAAACAAGTTTAAATTACATAATCACATGCCCGACAATAATTAAACAATTAATTGCGTACCTTTGCGCTTCCATCGAAATTAAAAACAACAATCATGCAAATTAATTTAATCAACAGTAAATCAATTAGCATGCTCGCATTAAATCATTTAACGTGCTCGCAGTAAATCATGAATTTCATGTGAACATACAACACATACAAATTCACGAAGCATACTACGATAACGAACATGGATAATTTAATATAATTAAATTAAAACCTAACGAATACCGGATTCGAGAATTACCTCTTGAACCGTGAGGTTGGCGCACGAAACGAAGCAAGACTGCCACGGAAACCAATCCGTGCAGTCCGAGAGCGGTGACGGCAAAGCAGCATCGGCGGTGGCAGCGACGATGATGGCGCGTGTGGATTATGCGTTGTCTTCAGGCGGCGCGTGGGAGCGCGTGCGTCGTCGTCTTGGGGGCTGCTCTTCGGTTCTTCGAATCTTTGATCTTCCTCCTCTCGGATTTCACCTCGTATATTTCGATCTACTAAAACCGTGGCACTAGACACGCAATAGTTATAATAGACAGAAGAAAAGAAAAGAGGAAAAGAACTACCACAACAATCGGCCAAGGGGAGGTCGATTCCGGCGATTCAACGGCGGCGAACAGCGGCGGCCGTGAGTGAGATCGGCCGAGAGAGAGAGGGGCGAGCGGCTAGGGTTTTTGGATTGTGTTGTTTCAGTGTGCAAGACCTATAAATCAAGTATTTATAGTGTCTTGTATAAAAGCCCTAACGGGCTTAAGTTGGACCGGGCCCAACAGCTTAAGTTCGTTTGTTCTTTACTCGCTTGTTTTTCTCAATTCAATGATCGGAAAATTGTAACGATTACATTTTCGGAATCATTATAATTTCCTCGTCATTACGAGTGCCGATGCTCGATTTCCAACTTTCTAAAAGTGGAAACCCTAATTCAGTGCACTTTCTAAATTTGGAAACTTCCTGATTTAGAAAGTTCACTAAGATGTTCGCATATTCTTTTCTTTTTCTCATTCTCATTCATAATTCCAAATTACGAATGTTGGACCCAATCATATTGACTTCCAATCATGCAAAGATAAAACACTTTTTATCTCTGACCGTTTATTCAAAGATCTCGAGTGCACGAGCAGTATGACCCTCGATGGTTCAGATGTAAGCTAGCCATGGGTCCACAACCCTTTGCAGTGAAAACTCGTCCCTTAGAGTTACAATTAAGATGAAGCTCGTTTCACCTTAATCACGCAACGAATCAAGATTGGCGTCTAGCAACTACGTGTCATGATTCCCTAGATACAAATGAAGTGCATGCAAGAACCTTTTTGATATTGTTAACGTACAGTACGATCCATTCGATTCATATGTCCCGATTGAGCTAGAGTCATTGGTTATCGAGACCTCCTTAGTAGTTCAATGATTGTGCGGTCGTTCTAAGTGTTGTAATCGGTACGTGCATGACTTAGAGAATCGAATTCTCTAATCATCACTTAATCAGCTCTGGCCAGAGACTTAGAGATTACAAACTATGAGAACATACAGGACATCTAAGATTCTAGCGATCGAATCCCCAACTACAATGCACAGACTTCCCACTAGATTTCGGACTGCACGAACACTGGCCCTTGGGGTGGTCCTCGGTGGAACTCAAGGACAGGTCACGATACAACTGGTCCTCTAGTGAAGTCACGCTGATGTATAGGTCATAAGGACTAATGGTGCAACTAGGGGTGGTAAACGAGCCGAGCCGGCTCGCGAACTCGACGAGCCGGCTCGAAAAAAGCTCGAACTCAAGCTCGGGTTTTTCGAGCTCGAGCTCGAGCCCAAAATTAGTTGTTCGACAGCTCGCGAGCCGCCTCGCGAGTTGCCTTCTATTTTTTTTTTTCTATATATATACATATATATATATATATATATATAAATATATCTAGTATTTAAATAGAAACAAATCTATATTACTTAAATAATTCATAATA